TGAAAATCCAAGCCGTAGGATATGATTGTATTAAAGAAAATCGATTACAATGCTAAGAGGGGATGACACAGTATCCTTTCGAATAGCAAAACATTGGGCTTCTAGTTCTTTGCTAGATATAGAAGCCTTATTTAGTATCAGACTTGCTTCGTATGTCATTAAAGTGGATCAAGCCCATTAACAGATTGAAATGTAGGAACCATTCACAAATATATTTAAAAAATTGACTGATTTCAAACTTAAAGTTTTTAGTCTCGAAATGCTATTTTATTTATTTATTTTTAATTTAAACGTTTTTACATAAATTTTGTAACACATTACGTTACATTATTACACAACATGATTCCGCTGCTGCACTAATAGGAATAAATTGTGTTACATTTGTAGCACTCAATCCATCCATAGTCGTCTCTGCCACATCAACACCTTATTACGCTCATTGCCACTGCAACAACCACTCATAATTTGTTGAAGCGTTACCATCGCCGCCATGACTTGCAACATTAATTATTACAACGTCGCCACTACTTGTAACATTTACTATTACACCACCTTCATAGCAATCTACACCATTTGCCACCATCATCACCATACGCGCCACCACTTCCGGATCTTTACATTCCCATGACCTTGTTACACTCATTGATACCACAACAACGCATAGTTTGTTACACTGCTACCATTGCCGCCATGACTAGCAACACTAATTATTACACCATCTCCACCACTTATAACATTTGCTATTACACCACCATAGACCATCTCCATTGCAATCTGCACCACATGCCACCTTAGTCACCATGTGCAACACCACCTCTCGATCTTTACATCGCCATCATTAATGCCACTACCAAGCCAACACATCTAAAACCACAAAAAACACCACCGCTAGAAACCACCTTTCCAAATCCACATACCAAGTAATAAAATTTGGCATTGCTACTACCACTATTATCTTCACCATCCCCACATGAATCACTGAATCCATCACCGCCATCACGACCTCCATTCAACCCCACCATTAGAGATCGAACTTGGAGAAGTCCATACATGGACACTTTTCCTTTCATGCCTCCTCACTCCCTATCATTTTCGTAATTTTCCTTTCATTACTTCACACATCATCAACGAAATACGGCATTCGGAGATTCAATTAGATGGTCAAGGTTGAGCTGGAAATTAAAAATAATAAATAATAT